TGACGCCTACAACCTTGGGTACGAATAGGACGCCATGCGGCCTACGTGTCCCTTAATCAAAACTACAATAATTACACCATTTTTAGCCAATAAACAGTTTTAGCCAATCAGCTCTGATTGTCATGATTATCTTGGAGTTTCCAAAAACATTTGTTAAATTCACCGTCCTCTTTCTCAATGACGGTAGAAAATAGTAAGTCTCCCATTACGAGACAACATTCGTCATTTTTTAAAGAAAACACAAACACTGATTAATGATTTCCCCAACGGGCAGACCCCTGAAGATCCGACGTACAATAGGTCTTCAGCAGCCCATGCTTGCGTAAAAGGCGACTATGCTTGCGTAAAAGGCGACTATGCTTGTCGTAAGAGGCGACTAACGGTATCGGGTGGTCAGACTCGCTGACTTGGTTGATGCATGTCATTGTATCCCAATTGCGTAGATCGATGCTCACTGATGTGAATCACAGGATTGTCTGTTCCAGACTCGATTATTAACAGACCGCCGTCATATTGCTGGAATATTGCTTCGTGCGGCGTTAAACAACAAACAAAAACAACCCAACGGCAATTGCGTGTTTTATTACATAAGCAACCGCGACTGTATTGTACAAGAATGCATGAACGTATAAAACACATCAGGCCATGCAGCATGCAGTAAACTTTGTATTGTAGCAGGTAAATCTTGAACAACAAGTGTCATTCGCAAGATAAGGCAGCATAGTTTCTCTCTATTGACGAAACTTAAAAACACCAACATAGAATCGTTTGACAATTTGAACACTGCACAAGTATATTCAAATGGATAAGTAATCGCACGTGTTGTTTAAGAAACAACCAGGCAAACTGTCTAACACAAGTAAGAATCTCAATGATTGCTGAAAAGAATTAGGAACGGCATGATTGGAGTATCGGCTACATTTGGAAGCATTATTAGATTTACGACTTTTCTAGGTTCGGTGCTTGAGCAAAGTCATCAGTACAACGATTGAAAACGTGTCTAAGGACTAATGCGATCAGGCGACACAACCTCAGTGATCTGTTCCATTCCGGAACAAAATTGCCAGGTAACAAATCGGCTTCACTCAGATAACAGCTCATAATGAAAAACACTGCATTATCGGACATTGCGTGTTTGTTTGTTTGTTGTTGTTTAACGCCGCACTCAGCAATATTCCAGCTATATGACGGCGGTCTGTAAATAATCGACTCTAAACCAGAAAATCCTGTGATTGATACATAAGCACTCAGCAATATCCCAGCTCTATGACGGCGGTCTGTCAATAATCGAGTCTAAACCAGATAATCCAGTGATTGATATCATGAGCATCGATCCACGCAATTGGAATACGATGACATGCATCAACTAAGTCAGCGAGCCTGACTACCTGATCCTGTTAGTCGCCTCTTACGACAAGCATAGTCTCTCTTACGGCAAGCCTGGGTTGCTGAAGACCTATTCTAACCCGGATCTTCAGGGGTCCGGACACTGCGTGAATTCAGTTGGCTTCTTGCAGCTTTCGGGGGAACGGGTGGCCCAGTTGTCTAAAACGCCGGAAGTCACAGTGCAGAGTTGCGTTCCTTGGACACGTCAGAATCCTTTGATCGTGGGTTCGACCCCGATTCGACCTGATTATGTTGCCAGGTTTGTCAGCACCATACCCGTGCTCGTGGGTTTCACCAAAATGGTAAACTTCTGAGACCTGCATCACTTCGGGCTTTCCTCCCACGCAATGCTGGCACACCGTGATATAACTGGAATACTGTTCAAAACGGCGTTAAACCCAACTCACTCACTCTTGCAGCTTTCTTAATGCATCTCAAACGTATCTTTCTGAAAGTTCGAAACTTCCTTTCAAAATGACGAGGTATGTTATAGACCAGTTGAGCTCTTGACATGGGCCTGGTTTAAGAAATTTGCAAAATTGAAATTGTTAGGAGAGTTATGGGTTTACAAAATGCTGATTGAACGTCCCTTCAGTTTTTGCATGTTTTAACCGTTAATCAACGCATGACAAACAGGTATGGAATCCCAGAAAGGACATTGTCGCTTTTTTCGCACAAATAGATGGTCTCTGCTACCGCTCAACAACGATCTAAGGTCATCTCATTATGGGTCAGAACGACCTTTCACCCGACCAATCAGAGGGTCGTTTGCGAAAGTGACAGTCGGAATGTTATTTTTCTTATCATGCAATCTCGAAACACGGGGCATTCCGAACGATGTGCAGTAGGAGGCAGCCATTGTTGATCCAGGTTAGACGCAGCTAGTGGAGAGTGGTTTTATGAACCATTAGGCATGATATGATTTCACCGTTTGAAATAACAAGTCAAAAACAAGTTCGGTGACTCCAATATACTGCCGAACAAGTGTCAGTTTCGAATTTGGAATCGCGAACTTTCTCAAAATATTTTCCAAAGAGTTATCTGAAAGGAAGTCACCATTTTGAAAATGGTGCCGCAAAGCTCGAGAAATCTGCTTTTTGATTGGCTAATGTCGACTTCCTGTTTGTCATTTCATTGGTCGGTCAAGTTCTGGTGTGACCTGTAATGGGATGTCCTGATCAGATCTAGAGTACTTGTGTGGCGGTAGCGAGCACTAAGATCAGATTTCAATGAGATCGTTCCAAACCGTGCGCTTTGGTTAATTTTGCTATTTTTGTAAAGGTGACAAATCGCTGTCATTGCAACAATTTTCCTTCTGGTAGTCCATAAAACGACACGCCTAGAATAATTCAAACAGGCTGAAATAGAAGGTGTCCAGAAAGAGTATTCCTATTATTTGAATATGGAAGTCTTCGATCCTTGCTTTCCTAGCTGACGTCAGCAGAAACATCTTGGGCCATACAAATACTGATAGTCTTTCTCAAGATGTTCGGATAATTCTTCTTTATTGTTCTTCCTTCTGTATTTGATCGTGTCATTAGTGTCACACATGATAGAAAACAGCAAGGCCAGCTGTTATCCACATAACCACGTCCCTTACTGTAAGGGGACACGGGTGGCCCAGTCGTCTAAGGTGACGCGACTCGCTGTGCAGAGTTGCGTACCCTGGGCACGACAGAAACCTATGGGACCCGTGAAGATCCGGGTAAGAATGGGTTTTCAGCAAACCATGCTTGCCGTAAAAGGCGACTATGCTTGTCGTAAAAGGCGACTAACGGGATCGGGTGGTCTGGCTCGCTGGCTCGCTGACTTAGTTGATGCATGTCATCAATCCCAGTTGCGTGTATCGATGCTCATGATTTTAATCATTGGATTATCTGGTCCAGACTGGATTATTTACAGGCCGCCGCCATATAGCTGGAATATTGCTGAGTGCGGCGTAAAACCAACCAACCAACCAACCAGAAACCTATGGTTGTCGGTTCGAATCCCGGTTCGCCCCAATTATGTTTTAGGCTTGTCAGTACAATACCCGTGCTCGTAGGTTTCACCGAAGTGGTAAACGTCTGAGACCTGCATCACTTCGGGCTTTCCTCCCACATTAAGCTGACACGCCGTGATATAACTGGAATACTGTTAAAAGTGGTGTTAAACCCAACTCACTCACTCACTCACCCATAACTAATACAATATATGCTCAGTGGGGATTCCGGGCTATAACAGGTCCCAGCTAACTATGCTGGTAGAAGGAAGCGACACATGGATCGGGTGGTCAGATTCGGTGGCTTGGTTGATGCATGTCGTCGTATCCCAATCGCGTAGATCGATGCTCATGATCTCCATCACTGGATTGTCTGGCGCTGTTTGGATTATTTACATACCGCCCTGACATAGCAGGGAATGCGGCGTGAAACAACAAACAAACAAAACATCGGCCTCGGCAATCAAACCCTCTAACCTGTACACCAACATTGTCCTGGTGTATAACATTAGATAGAAATCTTCTGTGGCCACTTGCACAAAACGATCTTAGCTCTAAGACTTTTGTAAACCTATAATAAAGTAAGGCGGTCGGGTAGCCTACTGGTTAAAGCATTCGCTCGTCACGCCGAAGACCCGGGTTCGATTCCCGACATGGGTACAATGTGTGAAGCCCATTTTTGGCGTCCCCCGCCGTGATATTGCTGGAGTATTGCTAAAGGCGCCGTAAAATCAAACTCACTCACTATAATAAAGTATGGGAGTTATGATCATCTTAGCGCTAAGATCGCTTTGTGCAAGTGGGCCCTGATCTTATAGGCGAATGACTGCAAATGCATAAATCTTCAACACCACTGGCAGATACACACATACAAGCACCACCCAAACGCCACCTAAAACAACGTTCTCGTTTCACATCACTTCCTGGTCAAAACACAATTACACAATTATACCAATGAAACCAATGACATAAATACATGTTGTGGCCTTTTATAGAAAACAATCCGAAATAAGCACACACACTAATATGTCCGATTAGGGAGCAACCATTTGATTTTGGGGTGATTTGGGCGGTTGTGGTGATGCCTGGACCAGACAATTCAGTGATTGACATCGTGACCATCGATCTACACATTTGGGATACCATGACATGCATCAACCAAGTCAAGGAGCCTGACCACCCGATCCAATTCGTTGTCTACAACGACAACCAAGCTTTGTTGAAGACCAATTCTAACTGGGGGCACGGGTATCCCAGTCGTCTGAGGCGCCGCGATTCGCTGTACAGAGTTGCGTCCCTTGGGCACGCCAGAAACCTATGATTACGGGTTCGAATCCCGGTTCGCCCTGATTCTAGGTTTGTCAGCACCATACCCGTGCTCGTGGGTTTCATCAAAGTGGGAAAGGTCTTAGACCTGCATCACTTCGGGCTTTCCTCCCACACTGAGGTGACACGCCGCGATATAACTGTAATACTGTTAAAAGCGGCGTTAAACCCAACTCACTCACTCACCCTATTCTAACTTAATTTTTACTGGGGAAGTCAAGAGAAGAAGAGGGCGGAAGAGAGGATGGACATTTCTCAAACCAAAATTCTTCCCCCACCCCAACCCCACCCCATACACTCCCTTCACACACGCGCACACACACACGCGCACATATACACCCGCCCCTGAAAATCAAATGGTTACTCTCATATCAGGGTTATTGATGGGATCCAGCAAAGAAATCCTGTAGCCTCATGCCGTCAGAGTTAATAAAAACATATGCGATGACCTCTCATTATACGATCACTTCTGTTCTTTCTTCCCGTTCTGCGGTTTTTATGGCCCTCACCACAGCTGAGGAACAGATGGACGTCACGACACAAGTGGCCGCCATTCCGATTCCGACAAGGATGCCATATGCGGCTTGAACGCTGATTCCGGCGTTGTTGACGTGGCACTGCGCTGCAAAGTGCGGTCCAGGATCTGGGTTGGTGAGACACGCTATCAGGCCCCACACGTTCCACGCCGTATGGAGCACTGCCAGCTGGGTGGTGAAAATGGATGTTATCTGCACTGCAATAGCCTGGAAATAGTCATTGACATATATCGTTTTTGTTTCTTTATTTTGTTGATTGACCGTCGTAAATATCAACAAAGTGGATTTTAAAAATAATAATTAAATTTTATTAATAAAAACAACAAAATACGTGTAACTCATTAGGTGATGTAACCTTTTACTATCTTTTTTTATACGATTTTAACATCTGACCGTATTAGTCTAAGATTACTTAAACATGTTTAATTTCTATTTCCACCATCGACCCTGTGTTAAAGGGAGTGAATGAGTGAGTGAGTTTAAAACCGCTATGAACAGTATTCCAGTTATATCAGGGCGTGTCTGGTTAATGTGGGAGGAAAACCCGAAATGATGCAGATCTCAGAAGTTGACCACTTTTTTGAAAGCCACGAGTACGGGTTTGTTGCTGTCAAAATTAGAATCATAATCGGGGTGAACCTGGTTCCTGGCGAACCCTTTCTGGCGAACGCTTCCCAGGTCCTGGCTGATAACACAATAGGGAGCACCTCCCACGTCCTGGCTGATAACACAATAGGGAGCACCTCCCACGTCCTGGCTGATAACACAATAGGGAGCACCTCCCACGTCCTGGCTGATAACACAATAGGGAGTAATTCCCACGTCCTGGCTGTTAACACAATAGGGAGCACGTTCGACGTCCTGGCTGATAACACAATAGGGAGTAATTTCCACATCCTGGCTGATAACACAATAGGGAGTAATTCCCACGTCCTGGCTGATAACACAATAGGGAGCACCTCCCACGTCCTGGCTGATAACACAATAGGGAGCACCTCCCACGTCCTGGCTGTTAACACAATAGGGAGCACCTCACACATCCAGGCTGATCACACAATAGGGAGTAATTCCCACGCCCAGGCTGATAACACAATAGGGAGTAATTCCCACGCCCAGGCTGATAACACAATAGGGAGTTATTCCCACGTCCTGGCTGATAACAAAATAGGGAACACCTCCCACGTCCAATCTGATAACACAATAGGGAGCACCTCCCACTTCCTGGCTGATAACACAATAGGGAGCGATTCCCACTTCCTGGCTGATAACACAATAGGGAGCGATTCCCACGTCCTGGCTGATAACACAATAGGGAGCACCTCCCACGTCCTGGCTGATAACACAATAGGGAGCACCTCCCACGTATCCGTCTGTGGCACTTACGTAATCGGTTCATCTTCATCAGGCGTCTACGCACGTTACAGACATATACACGTATCAGCACACATGGAAGATGGACACGTGCATTACTGAGTGAGTGAGTTTGATTTAACACCGCTTAAACCATGACTCATTTGTCTTAAACCGTGGGCTAACTAACTGAATTGTTAGTTAAACACCACTTGGCAATGACGGAACTTCTTTCTATTCCCCCCCCCCCCCCCCCCTGTCATTTATCGTGATGATTGAACAATTTCATAAAAAACGTTAGTCGCCAGCGGGATTCGAACCCACGAAGTTCGCACAGAAGGTTAATGAATGTAGACTTCTGCGATGGTGACTTGGGAAAAATTGTATGAAATAAACAACTAAACATTTACTTACATCAGGACTAATTGCTTATCCGTTTATGAACTGCGAAATATGTTTTATGCACTTTTTTTATAAAGTATGTTACTCAATGCATTCTGGTATTTGTACAGTTCTTGTGATTTGGTAGCTTTTCGTTCAACGAAAAAAACAGATAGAAAAGAAAATACTATTATTTTTATGAGGGCTAGGATTGCTCATAATAGTCCCATCAACATGGGCAAATACAATCGCGGTGATTGATAAATATGCTTGGTCCAAAATGAATGGTATACTTGCCCCGGAACATGCATTTCATAACCAAAATCGGCAAAGTGCGAGGTGCACGTGCGAAAGGCTCGGGGGACAGATTTCACGTGCTTCACGCAGTACCGACTCGCACAGTGTTCTCACAGTTCCTGAATATCTTTCAAAATACCTTAAACAAAACAAGTGAGTGAGTGAGTATGGTTTTACGCCGCTTTTAGCAATATTCCAGCAATATCACGGCGGGGGACACCAGAAATGGGCTTCACACATTGTACCCATGTCGGGAATCGAACCCGGGTCTTCGGCGTGACGAGCGAACGCTTTAACCACCAGGCTACCCGACCGCCCTTAAACAAAACAATGCTTATTAAGCATTTTAGGTGCTATAAATGTTGGACATGGTATGTAAGATCCCTCAGACCCCAGTGTCTAATCGTTGAGATGGTTAATGGTTTAATTAACCATTTCAACGATGAGACACTAGGTCCTCGTGGTCTAACCTATACTAAGAGGTCACGATCATAGGTTCCTGGCATGTCCAAGGGACGCCACTCTACCATATAGGTTACTCAGCTTTATGTGTTTCAAGACACTCACAGCAACAGCGAAAGTACCGAACGCTCCTGGTACGATCATTTTCCCCATATCCCTTCAGTATATCAATGTACAATCAAGGGAACGAGAATACAAACGTCACCACTTACTTTCACATTCGGAAATTTATAAATAATTCAAATACAGTAGAAACGTCAAAGTGCAGGTTCGCTACATGCAGAGTCTCCCCTAAAAGACGCTGCAATGGCCATAAACTTACATCGTCTCGAATCATCGAGATTGATAGGATTGAGCTCGGAGCCCAGATTCGGCCTAATTGTGTTTATGGATTGTCAGCATCATATCCTTGCTCTTGCTCATCACCAAAGTGGTTAACCTCTCAGGAGTTCATCACTTTGGGGGTTCCAAGCTGACACGCCGTAATAACACGCACTCACTCACTCACTTAAAGGGCAACTTCACACGGAAATGAACCAATTTTTCTTGTACTTTTTCCACATTAAAAGTGTTAACATAGAAGTGTCATAGACAAAAATATAAAAACATCATATTTAATTAACATATTTTTTGCATTAAAACGATTTATATTTTTCACATTTACCAAGTGTTCTATTTCCATAACAAAAACACCATGGCTTATGCCCCTTGCAATATGACGTCATTGGTGCCAATTGATAAACATTATGACGTCATCATGCTTTGTTAGAGCCGCTTCACGTGGTGTAGGTCTAGGTGTGTGATTCTAGCGTCCCAGATGCCAGCCAGCATAGTGTTATGCTGAGTCACCACTGCGCCGGAGTGTGTCGTAGACCATGTTGTTTTACCGCAAACTGGTCCTTGATATCTTTTGCGTTGAGAATAGTCAGGGACCCAGTTGAATTGGCACCAATTACGTCATAATCTAAGGGGGATAACTCAGGCCTATTTCGCTCGTAAAACGAAGGCCTCATAACGACATATCATTTTAACACTATTGTGAGCTTCCTACTTTCACTGTGAAAAAAAATGAGCGTATATTTTCAAACACAGATACTAACTAATTCTAAAATTGCGATTTGTTTAGATAAAGAAAGAAAGTGATTTTTGCGTGTACACTTCCCCTTCAATCACTAAAACCCCCACACCCTCCGTCCCCCCTACCCCCCTTATGCACTCACTCACTCACACCCCCACTGATTCACTTAATCACTAAACCCCCCATACCCTCCGTCCACCTCCCTCCCTCCCTTATTCACTCACTCACACCCGCACTCACTCACACCCCCACTCACTCACTTAATCACTAAAACCCCCACACCCTCCGTCCTCCTTCCCTCCCTCCCTTATTCACTCACTCACACCCCCACTCACTCACTTAATCACTAAAACCCCCACACCCTCCGCCCCCCTCCCTCCCTTATTCACTCTCACACCCCCACTCACTCACACCCCCACTCACTCACTAAATTACTAAAAAACCCACACCCTCCGTCCCCCCTCCCTCCCTCCCTCCCTTATTCACTCACTCACACCCACACTCACTCACACCCACACTCACTTCCTTGATCACTAACCCCCCCCCCCCCCTCCCTCCCACCCTTATTCACTCACTCACACTCCCAATCACTCACTCACCTTCTCACTCACTCACTCACTCACTCACTCACTCACTCACCCAAACACCCACTCACTCACTCAGTAAGCTACTACAACATCTTACTGAACTTACCAGCCACTTCAGCTTTGGTGACCTTTCCTTTATTGCTTCCTTGGTCAGCATTAGCCCTAAAACCCCAACTATAATTACCTACAAAACAAAGACAAACGATGATTACTCATAATCTGTCGTATACTATTTGCGTTCTCGTTAAACAAAGCTACTTTTGTCTGCGACTGTCTGGATGCTCTGTAATAAACGTAGCGGTTGACGTAGCGCTAACATCGCGCTATAGAACAGTAGCTCATTTAGTTTACCAGTAGAGAGAACCCTTTGCGTTTATATATTCGTTTGTTAGTTTGTAGTTTTAAAATAGCGCCGCACTCAGCAATATTCCAGCTATATGACGGCGGTCTACAAATAATTGAGTCTGGACCAGACAATCTAGTGATTGACATCTTTAGCAACGAGATACGATGACAAGCCATTCGTCCCCACTCGCCCTTTTCCGTAACCTGCAAGAAGACTCGTCCCCCTGTCGATGCATGTCATGTGCGAAAATACGACAAACCAATCAGAATGCGTGTATGATTTCAAGTTCTTCGAAGAATCACTCAGAAACAATATTTGATTTTACATATGTCTTGCATCTAAAAGTATACCCAAGACACAGTTAAATGTGTTTAATCATACTGTAAAATTCCGCATGACCCGATGTGCTTTTAATTGCATCTGAAATATATATAAAATATATGGGGAAATATATGTGAACCAATACGCAACGAGTTGACAATTGTTTTAGGTATGCCCGTTTGCGCTAAGACGGAACCCGGTCGCAAAAAATGGCCACGAGAGGGGCACGAGTCGCTATTCGGCTTGTACCGGAATGACATGAGTTGGTCACGAATGGATGACAAGCATCAACCAAGTCAGCGAGCCTCTCACCATAAACGTATATACGGTACAAGTAAGACACTTCTAATATACGAAAACCATTAGGGCCATATCATTGTATATTTCTTTTCTTCAGAAGGTATTGATATGAAATTTCAAGATATTATATTGACAATTCAAGATACTTAATTAACATTTCAAGACACTATGTTGAAAGTTCAAAATACTACTTTATGAAGTTTTAACATAGTATTTGACATTTCAACACGATATCTTGAACATTCGATTATCTTAGTGAGTGATTGAGTTTGGTTTTACGCCGCTTTTAGCAATATTCCAGCAATATTACAGCGGGGGACACCAGAAATGGGCTTCACACATTGTACCCATGTCGGGAATCGAAACCGGGTCTTCGGCGTGGCGAGCGAACGCTTTAACCACTAGGCTACCCGACCGCCCCTCGATTATCTGAAGGCCGTCATAATAGGGATGGAACATTGCTGACAATGGAGTAAAACAACATTCACTCATTCAAGTTTCAAAACCTGTTTCGAAACAGACCACTGGAGATGCAGTCGTGTAATTAGCAGTGGTGATAAATAGACGAGGAAACGGCTCATAAATGATTATGAGATATCATGTAGACGACTTGTTTTGTTGGTTGGTTGGTTGGTTGGTTGGTTGTTTAACGCCGCACTCAGCAATATTCCAGCTATACGACGGCGGTCTGTAAATAATCGAGTCTGGACCAGACAATCCAGTGATTAATATCATGAACATCGATCCGCGCAATTTGGATCGATGACAAGTATCAACCAAGTCAGCGAGCCTGACCACCCGATATCGTTAGTCGCCTCTTACGACACGCATAGTCGCCTTTTACGGCAAGTGTGGGTTGCTGAAGACCTATTCTACCCCGGATCTTCACGGGTCCGACTTGTTTGGGGCACATCTCTATCACCTCATGTAATGATCCTATACACAGATCCAGAGAGTTTTGTTTGTTTGTTATTTAACGCCATACGCCAAAATAATCCAGCTATATGATTGCTTTCTAATAATCGAGTCTGGACCAGACAATCCAGTGACTAACACCTTGGGCATTGATCTACGCAAGCGGGACACGCTGACAGGCATCAACCAAGTGACTGAGCCTGACGACCCGATCCCGTAAGTCGCCTCTCACGACAAGCATCGCGAAACTAATTATGATCTTTCTTCAAGTATAGGAGCGAGACAACCATACTATAGATGCTAATTAAAATGCTAATTAAAAATTTTCAAGGAAGTATTCTATGTTCATATGGACGTTTGACAAGTGATGTCTGACAATCAACGGTACCATATAATGTCCAAGGCGTCCAGTACACGTCAGTAAGATCATTTGCATATTTGCAAAGCTATAAAAACAAACTGGCTATCGTCACGATTAACGCTACCATCTGATCTTTATTATTCATCTACAGACAGGAAACTAGTATGACTGTACGTGTTTATTGGTAATATCGTGTGACAAGGGAACTAATTATACCATATATTTCCTTTCCAGACTTAACACGTGGAGCAATACTTCGGATACGTTCTTTGATGTTTGTAACCTTTGGATAATCGGGTTTGATTGCTGATGTCTCACCCTAGACCCAAGTGGATCAATTCTTGCCGCGACGACGACATCATGATGATGATGATGATGATGATGATGATGATGATGATAAAAATAAAAACAATTATTGACATATAGTCAGGTGCAGAGCTGGAGATCCTGGTTCGCAATGAACTTCACTTATCCACCAGGGGGAAAGGGTGGCCCAGTCGTCTGAGGCGCCGCTATTCTCTGTGCAGAGTTGCGTCCCTTGGGCACACCAGAAACCTATGATTGTAGGTTCGAATCCCGGTTCGCCCCAATTACGTTTCTAGGTTTGTCAGCACCATACCCGTGCTCGTGGGTTTCACCGAAGTGGTAAACGTCTTAGACCTGCATCACTTCGGGCTTTCCTCCCACATTAAGCTGACACGCCGCGATATAACTGGAATACTGTTAAAAGCGACATTAAACCCAACTCACTCACTCACTCACTCACTCACTGCGGACAAGCATTAACATAAATTCGTTGAGCTTAGGGACATTAGTGCTCCTTATGTAAAGTATGTCTAGATGCTTTCAACAGGAATATTTAGAACATAAACTACCAACACTACTTTCTTCGTTAATGATTTTGCATTCGTCTATTAACACTTCCGTGTAATCTTGTGGTCCAACACCATCCCCCATCTTTTCCGAAATGCTGCATCTGTTTTTAGGTACCATCTAATCGGACGTGTGGACCACAATTGTCATCACATTTAGTTTCGTAGCACCACCCTGGGTGGTGCACACACACACGAGAGATAAATAAACTGAAACGATGAAACAAAACCCAGCTCTCGTCGTCTCCCGGGATTATTTCATCGAGTGACCTCAGCGCTACGATTATATTAACCGCTTACCTCCGACTGCTAAGATCGTAACCCCCATACGTTAACTACAGCCGTGGCGCTAAGATAGAGGACTTTTCCCATCCCCGGTTGACACGAACACACTTATAGTATTTAAGAACCTCCCTTGGGTTATCCGTGTGAGGATGTAGAGTGGTGTATATCTCAGCTGACCCAATTTACCATCGACATCTATCACGTTCATCGCTCACGAATGAAGGGTTGGCACAACATATGAAATGGCATTCCTGAGATGTCTCACTTTTAGAATGTAGTGGCATAACAGTAATTTATCATCCAAAACTGGCTCCCACAGGAGATATCGCTTGGATGAGATCAAGCGATATCTACACTGTAGATATCGCTGCAATGAAATTACATCACAATGCTTTGCAGACCATTGTGACATCACTGGTTACCATGACGTCACAATCAAATGACATCACTAATGGCTCTGATACTGAAGATGTTTTCAGTACTTTTTACACTGAAGACACTGCTAATTACTGTCTACAAATTGAAAAAGTTGAAAGAATGATGTTGGATGATAAATAAAATCTCACCCTCGTGTCTTTTGATATCAAATATATCAACACTCGTTGATAAAAGTGGCAAAAATCCTCGGCAAGCCTCGGAATTTTCCCACTTTTATCAACTCGTGTTGATATGTTTGATATCAAAAGACACTCGGGTGCGATTCTTTATATGTATTACAGTATATATATCACCCTGAAATCCCCAGGATGGTACCATCGTAAGAGTGGACGTCTTTATGTGCCGTTTGTATCAATATTTAAATTTTATCACTGTTGAGAGTTTATCATGAGGGGAAATTGCAAAGTGTCGCAAATCATTGACGTTTCAATATTGGAAACAACACTAAAATCATAATTGTAGAACATTTGGATTCGAAACCACGTTCTCCAGATCATTTCTGCTGAAGCTGTCGCCGCCCTCATAAAAGGAAAACGCACTTTACAATGAACAGATTATCTGATCACAATATCATATTATCGCTCTGAAATTATATCCGACATTAAAAGTGTACTTGCCATGGCTCCCGTCCACACGCCGGACCCCGTGATGAAGGGGATGGAGGGGATTGGTGCGGCCAGCACCACGGTGGGCACCCCACAGACCGCAGACACGCTGCCCATCACCACCAGCGTGGTCGATAGTCTTCTGATGATCGGCAGCGGACATCTGAGGTCTGATAAAAAAACCAAGTCATTGTATAAACTGTTGATTCCTTTTCAAAAGGTTTTATTGGAGACATGTGTAGGAGATTTCCAAATTTGACACATCAGTGACAAGAATTATGTCCGATGCAAATCCCTATGTGGACTTGTACTACATGTTCCCGTTTAGTTGTTTTTTCAGATGAACCATTGACTTGCCTTTGCATGTGTTTGTGACGGGTGCCAACGGTGGGGCAGGATACGCTCACCTTTTCACGGACAACTGGTATCTACACTATTTGATACAGATTCATAAACACTGGCTTATGATATACAGTAAACAACGGTTATAACGAACTCAAAGGGACTATTAATTTTAGTTCGTTATAACCGTAGTTCGTTATAAGTACATATACAGCATGACTACAGCAAGTAGTCGGGACCAAAAAGTAAGTTCGTTATATCCGTGAGTTCGTTATAAGCGTTTTCGTTATAACCGTAGTTTACTGAAGTCGGAATCGTGCAATCGACTCTGCATTTGGCATTGAACATGAATATGGAAAGGTTTTTGTCGCTTTTACTTTCAAACACAAATATTT